CTGAAATGTAACAGGTTGAATTTTATTTTTGGATATTGGTAAGTTGTAGTTTTCTCTTCTCATTGTATAATGTCTCACAAAGAACAGTTCAGAAAGTGACTCAATTTTATCTTTAGTTCCTTACAGCAAATGAAAATCATGTTTGACTGTTGAAAATCATGTCATTGGATATTATTGACATTAAAATTTTCTCTATTTAATTTTTTAGTTTTTTAGGGTATTATACTGGAGAGCTTTATTCTCCTGCTACTGTAGGTGACCCAACTCCCCTCATGCTTGCCTCATGGACTTCACCCAATTGTTTCCAATATAGACTGTAAAAAACAAAAATTTCAATATGTATCCCTTTATCTGTATACATATAGATAGATTAAAAGAATTATACAATTTTGAATGAGGATTCATAATGTAAACTAAGTTCAGACCAATTTGGAAATGTGCCTTCACATACTAATTAATTGGAAGAACAGTTTTTATTCAAATCTCAAAAAATTTTCCTTTCAGAGTTCCTCTGTCAAAATCAAACAAATTTCAGATTCTAGAACAAAAATGAAATTACTGTTTTGAATTAGTTGAACATCATGACTTTTTGAAAGTCTCATATAAAAACAATCCAGTTCCATGGTTATATAGTTTGCTTCACCTGCTTGTTTCCAATATAGAGTCTTTATTGGGAAAAAGCAGATGAAACAATCTAGAAGACCAGTATTCTTCAACCTTGGGTCTGCAGACTGTTACCAGTCTGTGGAAATTCCCTTTTTGTGAAAAATTTTGTGGACTGGTATTAACTAAAAATTGTGATTTTAGAACAATAATCTTAAATATTATCTACAATGATTTTTATTTCTGTCTTAAGGTTATAGGATTTCTTAAATGCAGTTTAATATGAGGAATTTTTTGTTCTAATTACTATGTTTTTAGTGTAAAAAAACTGATTATAATTTTTTTTTTAAATTGCAATTCAAATCAATCATACATATATACCACTAGCAGTTACCCGCAACTTTGCCCGCGAGGTTTTGCAAGCAAACTCCATTTATATTCAGTATTTCAACAACCATAGTAATTGTTATATAACACCTACCGCTGAGAATGATGAGAATTGCTCAAAATCAAATGAACTATTTTCAATTTGATCAATTTTCTGGAACGTTTACAATTGTTCTATAATCGAACCAATATGCTATAACAAATTCGAATTTAAAACGGTTCGAACATTTGGTTAAAAAATCGAAATATATAAAAACATTTATAACAATGTCTGAAATGTTATCAATTTGATACGCCTAAGTACTCAATGAAGACTAAACTTAACAAAAAATCGTATGTAAAATAGTACAGTAGAAGCCGTTCTTCCGGTTAAGTCTTAATGCTCTCCCTCGCCCCCACTGGGGAATTTTGAAAAATTCCTTCTAAATGTGCATTGCCATGGCATACCCTACTAAAATGTAGTTAAAAACAAAAAATCGCATCTAAAATAGTACATTATAAGCCGTTCTTCTGGTTAAGACTTAATACTCTCCCTCTCCCCCTGAAGGGAAATTTCGAAAAATTCCTTTTTAGTGTGCATTCCCATGTTATACCCTACTAAAACGCAGATAAAAACAAAAAATCGCATCTAAAACAGTACAGTAGAAGTCGTTTTTCCGGTTAAGACTTAATGCTCTCCCTCTCCCCCCGCGAGGGAATTTAGAAAAATCCCTACTTAGTGTGCGTTTTCATGACATACCCGAACTGTGTACCAAATTTCACCTCTTTAGGTTCAGCGGTTTGCTCTGGGCGATGATGAATCAGTCAGTGAGTCAGTCAGGACAAGCAATTTTATATATATAGATAACCTCAGTTTTAATCTAATTTAAATTAACTTAAAATACAGAAAATAAAAATAGCTGAAGTTTAGGACAATGTTTAATTTTAATTACAGTGGGTGATCGGTTAACGAACAGATCGGATAACGAACACTTTCGTGAAAGATTTTTGTGTTCGGATAACGAACACCGCACAGAACGAACACAAGAAGAAGCGACGTAAAATAATGAATACCGATTGGTCTTCTCTTGTCTTCGGGCAACAATTCGAAACTTTTCAGAGTGCGGGAGATGTCAACATCGACGCTCAAGCCGGTATATACCGATCGGATAGTATTCCTCCAAACTTTGAAACTCTCCCTTGTAATTCCAGTCTTTTATTTTTCTGACAAAACAATTCTTTTATGTATCCGCGAGACTGTCGGGTAGGCACAAATTAAGTTTTGCGTCTGTTTTTTTTTCTTTTCAAAAGGTGAGAGTATAATAGCAAAGGTAGAAAGTGGGCAGAAGATGCCTAATGTTGCTGGGCAGTATGGCGTGAACAGGTCTACAGTAGGCCGTAGTTCAATCTTATTTAAGAAAAATACTGTATAATCAAGAAGACTCAAGCAGCTAAAGGAGTAATAAAAGTCACATCTGAGAATTAAAGAACATCGAAGAGTTCATAATGGAACCTGAAAC